GTGGTCTGCTCTTCATCCAGATCGGGAAGGACATTCGGCTCTCCTTTTCGGAGCATAGCCGTAAGGGGTGTCGCTATCTTGGCGAAATGATCGACGAAACGTCGGTAGACATTACGCATTCCCAAGAACGAGCGCAGCTCGGTCTAGGTCCGTGGTTGAGTCGCTTCTGAGAGCGCTTTCACATTCTTCGGGTGGACCTCGAGTTCGCCCGGTCGAATGATATGACCCAGGTACTTGACAGAGTCCTGAAAAAACTTGCACTTGTTAAGTTTAAGTGATAATCCCTCCTGCTGCAGAGCACGGAGTATTACGTCCACATCCTTGAGGTGCGTGTCATAATCCTTGGAGAAGATTATGATATCATCCAGGTAGATGAGACAGCTCTTCCAGCGATAGCCTGAGAGGAGGATATCCAACATGCGTTGAAAAGTGGCCGGCGGGTTCATCAACCCGAAGGGCATATGGTTGAATTGATACGTCCCGGCGTGGCACGTAAACGTGGTTTTCGGTCGATCCTCCTTGGCGACTGGAATTTGCCAGTACCCGGAGTTACAATCAAGGGTAGAAAAGACCTTGGCTTCCCCGAGCGTGTCAAGACACTCGTCCATGCGAGGGATGGGGTACGTATCTCGCACGGTCAACGCGTTCAGCCGTAGATAATCGATGCAGAAACGGAGGGTCCCATCTGACTTGGGGATGAGCACGACGGGGGACGCCCATTCGAACTTGGACCGGGAGATTACCCCGCCGGCTAACATCTCGTCAACTGAGGCTTGTTCCGCCTCACGGGCGCGGGGACCAACTCGATAGGGCTGACATCGAAACGGCTTTGCGCCGGGGGTGAGTTCGATGCGATGTTCTGCCGCTCGAACTTCGCCCAAGTTTCCATCCCACATTCCGGCGTATGGCGCGAGCATGGTGTGAACCTGCCCTCGCACTTGCGCCGGCAGGTGGTCGAGGGGAACCGCCTCCTGCGGAGGGGATGGCTCCGCTTGGGGGAGGACTCCGCGAGGGGGCCTCTCGCCCTGTAGAGGGGGGCTCCCCTCGGAGAATTCCGCAGCTAGGACCGCGTCCAACGGCATCGCCGTGCGCACCATCGCCCGCGGATGGGGAGTGACGAAGCCAATGACTTGGTTCTTCGACAACCTCTTGTTGGCGGACGAGAAGTTCGCCATGAGGACCTTGACCTCTTGCAACGGGGTGATGTGCACCACCCCGTTGGAGAGGGAGATCCGATGCTTCGCATATAACTGCGGGTTCGCCTGGAGGACCGAGAGTCCGGCCCGTCCACTGGTGACGTATACCCAGGTCTGGGTGCCCGCCGGGATTTCCACGGCGCGAGACACCTTGAGCTTTGGGGAAGTCCGCCCGGCTTCGGGGGCATACTCTTGCCCCGACGGGAGGGGAGGGGCGTTCGCGGCCCGAGACGCCGGTTTCCGGACGATGGGTATCTTAGTACCATCGTCCAGTTCCACCTCCTTCCGCCGTGGGTAGATGGCTTCGACGAACTTGTCGTTAAAATCGCATCCCAGTATCACGGGGGCGGCTAATCGTTCACAGACGATGAAGGTACACGTCATGGTGCGGTCACCTAACCGCACCACGAGGGGGATTTGTCCGCTCGTACGCAATGGTCTCCCATTGGCGTCCGCGATCGTTGGGATTTCACCCGGAATAATCAGCGCTTCCCATCCGGAGGGAAGCGTGTCGGCAAGTACGAAATTGGAGCCAGCTCCTGTATCCAATATTGTGAGCTGGCCCCCCAATATCGACGGGGATAATCCAAGGTCTGCGGTAGACCTTGTAATTCCGCCGAGACAGCGCAAGCACTGTCTCGGAATGGCTAACACCCCTTGCAAGCGGGGGGTGTCTTTCCGCCAAGGTCGGCGTAAAGTACCGAGCCGTTCGGGGTCGGGGTCTCCCTGGGATAGCCCAGTGTGTTTGCGGCCGAGTATCCGGTACCGCTTCTCCGTCTCGGGAGGTGAGGACGGTTCCGCCGCCTTGGGCGAGAGATCCGGGGACGTGTCCGTGTCCACCTCAGCTGCTGCGGCCTGAGGTTCTCCTAGTTTTTTGGAGGAGGAGAAGCTTCCCCGGGGGGTGGAAAGGCCCTCGTCCCGGTACCCGCACGCGGTAGCGGGCCGGCGACGGCTTCAGGGTTCATTACCCGGTTCGCCTCGTAACTGAGAAGGGCGACGGCTCGGAGGTACGCCTCCGGAGGCACTCGGCTCTTTTGGGCCGCGGTCAACTTCTCGTACTGGTGGGGTACGAGGGATACATCCTTCACCTTCATATCGCAGTCGGGGGAAATGTGGTCCCCGACCCGATAACAGGTGAAGCAGATGATCTGCGGGGACGGAGGTCCTCGCAGGACGTTCTGGTAATTACGGGACGTTTTCCCGGGTGGAAGTCCGCGAAAGCCCTCGGCGGGCTCTCGAGCGGGTTGATACGGCTTGCGTCGGTCGCCGTAAAGCAGCGAGTCTCCGTCGTTGAAGGAGGATTCTTCCGTCGGGAGGGAAGGAGCCCCCCGGCGAGGTCACCTTCGGTAGCGAAGTAGTTCTCGGCTCCCCGGGCCGTTTGAAAACTGGGGGGGCCGGTCGACGTCGACGGGGCGCCATCCAGGGCAGCGAGAACCTGTTTAACCGGGCGGGGCTTCCCGAACTCCACGCGGCGCCCAGAACCGTGCTGGGCTCGGAAGGCGTCGCCGTGCGAACGCGCGAGGGCGATGGTATCCTCGAACGAGGATCGCGGTCGATCCTCGCGAGCTTGTAACACCAGCGGCTTGATCGCGGGGGTGAGCCCCTCGATGAAGAGGGTCGTCCTCTCGTATGCCGAGTGCACGTCCCCGCACCTTCCCAGGGCGGTGGACATTCGAGTAGCGTACTCGGTTTCCAATTCGCCCGGCTTCTGGCGTAGCTCCCTCAATGCCGTGAGAGCCCGCTCGATCTCGAGGTTCGTCGCATACGTGCGTAACAGCCAATTGACGGCGGCGGCCCAGCTCGCGATCCCCTGAGATTTGCGGTACAGTCCCCGCTGGGACTCATACGCTTCCTTAGCGGGCGGGGCCAGCAGATGGGGTAGGGTCATCAGGGCCATCGCCTCGGTCATATTGGCGTTGTCAAAATTTTCCTTGCAGCGAGCCAGGAAACTGATGACCCTGATGGGATCTACCCCGCTGAATTTGTACTCCCCCATGACCGCGAGGAGGTACTGCACACTCTTACGGGTGGTAGCGTAGACCCGGTCTTCCAGGGTTGGGTCGGTATCCACGAGGCGGTAGGCTTGGTAGTTACACACACCTCTGAACCGGTGGTTCGTCGGCTTCCAGACAGAAAACTTTTTCTGTTTGGGGCCGAACGTCGGCGTTGGGGCCGTAAGTGACTCTGACTCGGAATCGGTCTCCGAGTCAGAGGAAGATGACGAGGACGGGCTCGAGTACCCGTCCGGAGGGTAACCATCCTTTCGTCCTTTGCGACGGTTCGCCTTCCGCTCTTTCTGAGTGGGCTTGGAATTTTTTCGTCGTCCACTCCCCTCGTCGTCTGAGCTTCCCCCTTGATCGGGGTTCCCTCCCCGTAAATTCTGGGAAGGTAAATCACCTTCAAGGTGGATAGGTCCGGCGGAGGCTCCCTCGGGGGAGGCTCCAGCCGCGGTTCGCAACGCCTGCGGATTGGCGAAGAATTGGGGAGCGGTCTCCATGGAGGGGACCGGTATCCCCGCGGCTTGCAGCGCCGGCATTGTCACGTTGGAAAAGAGCAGGCTCTTATTCAACGGGGGCAACGCCTCAGCGGGAGGGAGAGTAGCTACTCCGACTGTAGTCGGAGGGATCCCAGCAGCGGTGGCTGGGGTTTGCGTCACCGATCCGCCTTGCGGGCTAGGGGACGGATCGGGGCGGTGCGTCTTCAGGATGGTGATTTCTCGACGGAGGGCCTTGAGTTCTTCCGCCGTGGCGGTCTCCTCTTGCTTACGCAGGATGTTAGCCTCCTTGGCGCTGGCAGCTATGTCCGTCTGCCAGGCCTTGATGAGCACGCCTTCCAGGACGGTTAAGCGATCGCGCTCTCGCGCGGCTTGTACCTCGGCTTGCGCCGCGATAGTTTCCTCAATAAAAGTCTTGAGGTTTTCTCGCAGCGCCGACGGTTGCGCTGCGAGCTTCTCCGCTACAGTATTGAGCGTGAATCTTTCGGCTTCTCGGAGAGCCTCGCGGCAACTCCGAGTGATCCACGCCGCAACTGGCGGAGGCACGTCTCGAGGACGGGTCTCACGGGACGATTCGGAGCCGGATACCATAGCCTTGAGCTTATCGAAACCTGTTGAAACAGAGAGAACACCTAGGACCAAAAACGGTAAGGGATAACGGACACTCCGTAGACTTCTAGGTCAGGAGACCAAAATGTCGTGCACTGAGGGGGAAGGGTGGGATCCCCCTCTGGCAGAGCCCGCGCGTTCGAGGGGCGCGTGTAGGGGATTATCGGGAGACCACCCGTAAGGGACCGGTACGGGGCCGGGCGCGAAGCGCAGTACGGAAAGTAAGGGAAAAAGTGGGGGAAGTAGACCCCAGGAGGGGCGGAGCGGTAGGGACAGCTGTCTCGCGGAGAGCCGGGCGTAGCGGGACGACGCGCGTGGTAGAGACAGGTGGGAATCGGGACGCAGATGGCTCGCAGGGTATCGTCGTGGGACGGGGACCGACGCGAGGCTACGACTCCGTTCCAGAAACCCGAGTTGTAGACCCAAAGCTTCGTACGGTTTTACTTAAGGTCGGACGTCGGCTATATACTAGCCGACGTCGGAGCGATAATTAATTTAACTAAAAATACTAACTTGAATGACGGCGGCGAGGGCCGGAGAAACTCCTCTTGGGGAGGTATGACAACCATTACACATGGGGAATGACACCTGGACACAGGGGCCTGGGTGCCCGGTTACACGTGGCGTGAGGTACACGTGTGCAGCGGAGGGGGAGCCGCGGGGGCCGGAGACAGGTGTCCCGAATGAGAAGATGAGGGGTGTCAGTGCACTACACGATGAATCCACTTCTTCACCGGATTGCGGTCATAATCACTATTCATCAGGTTCTCAAGGGCATTGTTAGGGGTTTCCTTTGTGAGACCGTCTGCTATGTTGTGTTCCGACGAAACAAGGACTACGTGCGAGATTTCTTGTCGATTATAGCATTCCCTAGCTGACGCTATGTCTATCATGAGCCTTTTCTCAGTCGTTGACGAACCTTTGGTAATCACATCAAACATCTGAAGTGAGTCGGTCAGCATATGAAGTGGGATCTTCACTTTAAAAATTGTCTCCAAATCATGTCTCAGAATAAAGGCGCGGTCAAAACCGGATGCAAAAGCGTATACCTCTCCTCCTAGAATAGACCTGACCACTCTTTTCGACTTTCTGCTTGAATACTCCAGTAAGTGAGCACGATCTGAACTATCACATAGCAAAATTATGAACCCGAGTTGTGATGAAAGATCATCGTTTCCGGCAAAAGAAGCATCAGTGTAAACCCTCATGTGAAGAGAATCTTTTTTCAATGGGAAGAAAGTTAAACACCTGCTATGTGTCCCCTTCAGATGTTTAACCGTGCAATTGAAAGCTTTTAGTTTTTCCGTCCCGAAAGTCTTCTCCGTTACTTGTGCGGCTTTGTTAATGGCACAGAGAGCGTCCGGACGTGTGTAGCCAATCCAAGCAAGAACGGACCGGTAAGACCTAAAACGTGCAATTGATGCGTCCATTGGTATAGGATTAAGCTTCTTTGTATACTCTTTCTGTGTAGCTGAGAACGAGCAGTCTGGATGGGTTTTGGTAGAGGTTCCGAAGAACTCAAAATTATCCCAAAGTCGTTCTTTTGAGTCAAACTTCTTAAGAGAAAGTTTGGTAAGCTCTTGCATATCATCGTTTTCACCAATGCAACTGTCGTCCACGTACATTCCAAGCAGTCCGTCAAGGTCTTCCTCGTTTCGTTTCACATACAAGGAGGGATCACCAAGTAGAGGAACTAAGCCTAAGTCATACTTGACATGACGGTCAACTGTAACTCCGTCTGTCATGCCATATGTAGGTTTAAGAAGTTCGAGTATGTCCTCCTCACCAAGACCAAAATACTTCAGGTCTGTCCTTTTTTGGAGGAGAAATACCTTCCGTGTCAGTTTGTCCTCGCTTTGGAGGTAGGCTTGTCTCACGTCATGAGAGAAGAGGCGAAATCCTTTGATCGCCGATACCGACACGATGATTCGAGTCGAACTTTGACGTAGAGTTGTAATGTTGTGGACCATATGTGCTTTTTCTCGGTCCCGGTTTCCTTGGGCAACGTAGCGAGCCTTAGGGCGTTCGTCAGCGGAACCTAGGTTCTTCAAAGTGAGGACGAAACGACCACTTAGGACATTTGCCCTGTGTGGTAACGAGGCTTTAGGAATTACTTGCCATGTTTCTCTTTTTTGCGGTCCGTTCACCTCCTCCTTCATGGCCATATAGAACTTCGATGATGTTGTAGCGATGTCGCTTTGATCAATGACCTGTGTCATGAGTGCTTGCGTTATCGACGGGATCTCATTTCTCGTGAGCATGTCTGGGGTGGCTACCGGCATATGTTCATCCTGTCGAATGGCGTCGCTAGACCCGTTGGTTGTTGGAGGAGGAGTCCCCCTGATTCTTTCAAGTATCGTGTCAATATCCCTTATCACATCTTCATTGTCGGCAGAGAAGTTATATGAATCGTCGTTATTCACTGCAGTCGGTGTTATTTCTGGGATCACAGGAGGGCTGTTGTACGATTTAACTTTGTCGATTGATACGTTCATAATCTTTCCTTCGACCTGAATCGTTACAATCTTGTCTTTGACATCAAGAACAAGATATGGTCCAGTCCATTGGTCCTCCGGCTTTTCTCGATAGATAAGTACACGGGAGCCTATTACGATATCATTGTCCGCTTCGGATGGGACTTTCATGCGCACGGCCCTAGATATTCGTTCCTTGGCCATGAAAGACGCCATCTCCTTTCGCGCGGATTCCATTGCTTTCATACGGTCCATCTGTGCGGGCAGGTCCATAGGAACAATTGGTATCCTTTGCATCGCGCCAAACGCAAGGAGCGTAGGTACCAAACCATGATATCCTGCTGTGTCATTCATTGCTTTTAATGACAACGAGAGACAGTGACTCCTTTCAATCCCTGGGTGTTCGAGTCGAACTTTGCGATATATATCCCTCAGAAAGGCATGGTATCGCTCTCCAACGCCCAAAGCGTTGTAGCTCTGCACTCCGGACTGGAAGTGTTTGATTCCCGCCAACAGCAAGAGTGTCTTCCATCGTTCTAACTTGAACTGTGGTTGCTGATCTGTTGCCGTCGCGTCGGGAAAACCGATGTACACACAAACCCAAATGTTCATGAATGTGTTCCAAGTTGCCTCGGCAGTCTCCTTTCCGAGGAATGCAGCTGCAGAGAACTTTGTCTCCTTGTCCACAACATGCAATACTGGTGTGTTATCCAGATACATAAGATCCAAACATAAGGTTCGATTGAACACGACATCCGCATCAGGTAATGAAACTCTGAAACGATGAGGGGCCCGACTGCGACGTTGACAAAGGTCGCACGTAGAGCTGATTCGCTTCAAGGTCCTGAGTACTTCCGGTGATGTCTTATCGGGTTCAGCACGGCTCATTACGGAGTAAAGGCGCTCAGAATAAGGGTGATGAAAGTGTCTGTGTACTTTCATGAGTTCGGATTCCGTAAATAATATGTTCGGCCCCCACACATAGTACAGGTGGCCACGTTTCTTCCAAAGGCGTATCTGCCATCCTTCAAGCTTTGAAGATAGAATGCACTTATCCGTGTCAAGTACCATCTTGTATTTCTCCATGTTGTCCAGTCCAAGGAGAAAGGGAACATTGGTATCTACAACTTCCACCGAGAGTGAAATGAAGTGCGTTGGTGCTATTGGGACTCGCACTGTCAACAAACCAAGCCCGACATGTTTGTGCGTCCCAAAGCTGAAAATGTTCCTGGCATTTGATGCTGAAGGGCTGAATGGGACATTGAACAAGCTGCAGTACGCCTTGGCTTGCTCAACACCAACGACAGACCTTTGAGCGGCGGAATCTATGCATATCCCGTGGAAGGGGTCGCCTACAGTCACGTTCCATGACTTGCTTGTGAGATAAACGTGGCTTATAGCTTCGCCGTCTGAGTCGGTGGGATGTTCTGTGGAATCGACATCTCCTGTGGCGTTATTGCCGCTTATAACGCTTTCAAATATTGTGATGTCTGTCTTCTCTGTCTCCACTTCCGAGTCCTCTTCCGGCACAGAACCAATATCAAGTTGTTGGCATAAGTCAGCGAGGACATGATGGACGGCAATTGGCTTCGTGTCTGCCTTCTTCGCGTAGTATTCCATCTTACGGGTTGCTGCCCTAGATGTGTTGAGCGGAAGAGTGCAGTCCCTGAGCAAGTGGTTTCCTCCGCAGTTAAAGCAGCCGGATACTGACAGTGGGTTGAACTTTCCCTTCGGCTTAGTCGTAGAGGGTGACCTGAAAAGCCTTCCAGTAAAGCGACGCTGCGTGCTCGTCGAGTTTCGCTCACTAGGGTAAGGGGAGTTGTTGTAATACCTGCTCTGACCAGTGTATAAAATGCCAGTCGAGCCGTCGTGAGGAACTCGCCTTTGATCAAGCTGCGCACGATCACGAATTATGGCCAGCTTGGACTCCTTATCCAGTTGTAGCGCCGCCTCAAGCTCTGAGTAGAGTTGTTGGAATGTGAGTTGGTGTGTTGCCACTCTACTGAGCGGCTCGCTGGACCATGTCATTCCCACTACGGCATTTCGTAGGAACTCAACCTTATGAGCGTCTCCTTGATGAGAGCGCGGAGCTTGACGAGAAAACTTGATTATTGACTTATATGTCAGGGCTAGAGCAGCAGACATTTCTTTCCCTTCTGCGACGAATGCAGTCACGCGAAGAGAGTTGAGATAGTTCTTCACTCGTGTCTGGCGAACGGGAGAGTTATATTCCTCCTCGAGCATTTGGATAGCTTGCTGGAAACAGGTCGCATATCCATCGATCTTATCGAGGTAGTATCTCTTCGCATCCCCTCGAAGTAAATTGTGCAAGAATTGGAGTCGCTGAGGAGGAGAGAGATTATAGTCCCTGCAAACCTGAAGATAGTCATCTACGTATCCATCCAGGACTCGCCCAAGTCCCCGGAGAATTTTTTCTCATTCTCTTTCATGCGCATAGCGACGTTGTGGGCAATCTTCTCTGTCGAGGTACTGAAAGATCCGCAAGTCCTTGGCACGGGTGATTGTTCACGATGCGAAGAAGAGCTGGGAGCTTGTACGCGTTGGCGGCGACCTGCAGCAACAATTTCACGTGCCATTTCTATTGCGGCTTGTTTATTCTCCGTCTCTTCATATAATCCGTGGGCTAGTGTCATGACCACACGATGAGAGGAGTGTTGCGCTAAGTTCGCCCTTTTCGCGTCAAGGAAGTTTCGAAGCTCTATATGCACCGCGGGAAGGTCACATATTTCCTGGCGGAACAGCGAAGCTGGTGGAAACATATCAGCTACCGTCCTTTTCAAGTGGATACCGATGAGATCAGGCGTAGTCTCGAGGAAGCGAATAGATGATATGAATCCCTTTTGTGCACTTGTTAAAGCTGAAAAGGCATCGCTTGTTAACCCCCGCATAAATGTGTAAACGGGGGGGGGGGGGGGGGGGGGGGGGGGGGGGGCGGGTGTATCGTCTCCCACTTGTTGGATTTGTGGAAGACTAGCCTCATCACCAACGCGGGTAGTGGGAGGCATTATGTTCGCCACTTAAGTGTGTGATGGGTGGTGTTGCCAAAAAAAATAAGAGTAACAAAAAACTTGACAACTGCGTCGATCGTAGATCGGTTGACCTTGTAAGGGTCCGACCCTCGGCGCCTGCAGCTCTTGCAGGTAGAAGAGGTCCGATCTCTGACGCCCGGGGCCTGTCTGGGTCACGTAACGACTTCAGCTGTCAACCTACTCTTGCGTTACGAGAGTAGGCGCGATGGTCCCTACGAGACGTCCACACCATCCAGTACACAGGCCTAAAGGGTGTCTAGTCTCTTGCGGGGCACTTGCGCGACCGCTAGTTCGGTAGTTGAAACTCTTGTCTACCCAGCGCACAACACCCTGAAGGATCACAACGCCCGGAAACACCAGGCCCGAAAGCCGACAACGTTATCTGCCCCGAAGGACCGGTGGGGTTCCCTGCCGGAGAGGATCTCCAAACAGTTCGAGTTGCCAGCCTCGCGTCACCGAAAAAAATCCGGGTCAACCGCTCTCAGGCAAAACAAGAGTTCCTTCCACGTTCCAGCGCCAACGATCCACTCTCTCCACTTCCAAATAACCTCAGACCCAGCCGCACAACAACCAAATCAAACACACCTTCGTCCTCCCAAACGGCCGAGTATATCGGCTGTTAATGTCAAATGCGATACAGCACAGCACCAAAGTGGCGAGCGGGGCGCTGCAATAGCGGGAGCGGCGGCAGCACCAGCAGAGAGCGGCGAAAGCTGTAACGTAGAGCGGCAGCAGCAGCAATAGAGAGCGGTTGCGGCACCAACAGAGGGCGGCGGCAACACCAGCAGAGGGCGGCGGCAACACTGAGGGGGAGCGGCGGTAGCACCGACAAAGAGGGGCGGCAGCGGCAGCAGGAGCGCACCGGCAACACCGACAAACAGTAGCGAAGGCAACGACAAAGAGCGGCGGCAGCTCCGACAGAGAGCTCGGCGGCGGCGGCGGCAGAGAGCGGCGGCAACAGCGGGAGCGCGGCGACGGTGCGGTGAGGCGACGGCGGCGCGGCAGAGCGCGGCGGCGGCGGCAGCGGCAGATCGCAGCGGCAACAGCGGGAACGCGGCAACGGTGCGGTAAAGTGTAGCGGCAGCGCAGCCGTGAGCAGCAGCGGCGCGGCAGGGTGCGGCGGCGACAGAGTGCGGCGGCGGCGGCAACGGAAGAGTGCGGCGGCAACCGCGGCAGAGCGCGTCGGCAACAGCGGGAGCGCGGCGACGGTGCAGTAGAGTGCAGCGGCCGTAGCAGAAGCACAGCGACGGCGTTAGCAGCGGTGCGGCAGTGAGCGGCGACGGCGCAGCAGAAAACGGGGGGCGGCGGTGATGGTAAGCGATTGTGTGCACCTGCGGTGAGAGGGAAGAGCGTGCGGTAGCAGGCGGCAGAAATAATTCGCGGTGGAGGCGAGACAAGGGAGCTCGCTTGCGCAATGATCTCGCGGACGGCCAATCGGAAGGGGAAGAAAAAATGGGAATCGAAATCAGCAATTAATTAATGTGGGATTTCGTGAGGAATTCCTTTAAAGAATTAGAAAAAGAGATTTTATTAAAGTGTCAATGGACAGGTCTACGACGGACCGTCCGAGCCCGTGCGAAGTCCGTGCAGTCGGACAGTTTTCGCAGGTAGGCTCTGCGTTTTGACACAATCTTCTGGCCCGGTACGAACCTACAGTCCGCAGCGCGAGCCCTACTTATATACTACTTAACCCTTACAGTATCATGAAGAAAGACAAGTTCTGGCGCATCCAGCAATTACAGAAATGGATGCGCCTCCATATCATACATTGTTTCACAGCAGGGAGATGTTTCTATACTACTTGTATCAAATCAGCTTAAAGAAAATTGCTTACTGTAAGCCAATCTTTTCTTTTGAACACCTTTATATGCATCAAGGAGTTGGTTTCCGCGAGAATCAACAAGCAAATGCTTTACCTGTAGTGATGGCCTTCTGGTTTCAAGAAAACAGAAGTGGAATCGTGAGTTAGGTTGTCTAAAAAAAATAAAACCCCTTTTGTCCTCATATGAGGTCTAACGGTCCGATAGACACTAGGAGTGATTGATATTGCGGATGATGAGGAGGCACGCCCGTGTAAACGTCTGGATGTCACAACACTCGGGACGATTTCCCTTTAGCACATGGTGTTTTTTACGTAAAAAAAGAAGCTCGGAAGCGATTTATAGTTTTAATGCTGATCCCGTCCAGCAAAGACTTGGTGATCCACAAAGATATAGATGATATCTTTGCCGAAGAGATGTCACCTTGTTTGTCCGAATGCGCGGCTAGCGCGTAATTGAATCGAAGCAAACGCTTTTCCGCTCACTGCTGATAGAGCAGGGTAGTGCTGTGCTCGCTTCTCACGGAGGTGGCATGAGAATTAACTCGCACTTCACAAGCGTTTTCGAGTCCTTATCGTCTCTTTTAGAAGAAAGAGCGGTGCTAATCTTTCTCATTTCAATGGAGCCAGGTGAAGGGTCAGTGAGACACCTCATTGAGACAAAACCATACACTAGACAGATCTGACTGAATCTATGACTGCTTCCAAAGCACAGCAACACAACACAGGAATTGTCTGGCTAGATGTTCTCCGGGCATTGCGTGAACAAGGAACATTTGCTATTTGCCCCTCACTCCGCCGTAGACGTGCCGACACGTTAGGGCGCACGAAAGAAAGCGAGCGGAAGGGCGATGTCGGTGTCGGCAGACGATGGGGCAGCAAGCACTGGATATAGCACGCAGGAGCTTGGCCTGCAAACGCTCTCGGCCGGCACGAGTGATATCTGAAACATCTCCCAAATGGCCCCATCGCATAATTGAAGCATCCAACGATCTCGCTCCCATTAAAATTCTGCCCGCGAAACTTTGGATGCAAACTGCACCGCTTTATGAGCCGAACAGCTGGATGCAGTAATGTACTGTCGCTTCCCCCACCCGCCTCTTCCCCTTCATTTGGGTTGGCGAGGCACACGTATCTGACCGTAAGCTTGCTAGAGTACTGCATCATCGTCATACAGTATGCTTTCCTTCGGTGAGCCGCTAGTCTGTTATGACGGATATCCTTTGTGAGACCAACTGTATCACTATAAATACCGGCCTTGTCTCATCACCACCACCACCCCCATCCGGCTCACGGACCTTTCTACGCAAGCATCTGCCAGTACGACTCTCACACACTCGTACCAAGACCGATCTGATCTACGCAGAGCATATCCACTTCTATTGACTTTCAGCATGGCAAGCCGTTTCTTCACGCTGTTCCTCGCACTCGCCTTGCTCGTCTGCCTCGCCGCCGCGACTCCGAGAGCTATCCCGCAGGCCGTTCGGGAGAAGAGGAGGATTCGCCTCGCCGCGCACCTACTGGAGAAATGTGGGGCGTACTGCTCAGATGAATATGACTGTTGGTTCACCAACGAGTGCGAGCACTGCTACAACAATAAATGTCAGTAGAGACACGCGGGCAGTGTCGAGCTCTGGGGTGAAAGGCTTTTGCGATCGGCATTTGCGCCCTCAGTCGCAAGTCGACTCTAAGGCACGGATTCCCAATAAAATGTTACGACGTCAAACGCATTTGTTGGGCGAAAAGAGCAGCCATTCTTTTTCTATCGTGTCCCTACAGTTTGCCCTGTCGGTTTTGAGCCGGTTTTCGCACAATAATTCATCTCCTTGCATTCAATTTTTGTTGCGGTAATCGAACTGGTTTGGCCATTTGAAACTTATTCTGTGCCTTGTATTGCTCACAAACTCTACTCATCTTTCTAACGCCCTACTGCACCATATCGGTTGAGAGTGCAAGATATGAGGATGAAGATATGTCGGCGTACAGTACGCAAAGAGTGCCTAAAATCGCCAACCCCCCTCCACTGTTTGCGCTGCACATCGGTGGCATACGTGCGACTGGGACAGTGTCCCCTGAGCGAACATGCGTGTCAGATAAGCGAACGGAACAGTATGAAATGAGGAGGGGAATGCCGTCAGAGCCATTGGAGATTAGAAACAACAACGAGCGGACTAATGAGGTTAGAGGGGCGGATGAGCGGCTGAGAGTGTTGGCAGGTGGCTAAGGACGGTTGTGATACGATTTGGAGTCGACTTGAGAAAGCCATTTCGAATTTATTCTTCGTACCAACAGTAAATTTACCCTTGAAGGGTACTGTATTTATACCAAAGGTTCTACGTACAGAGTAAAGTCTCGATAAGCTGCGTACCTGATAGGATGAACTGTCTCGGTGCCGTGAACTGAAAGGCTGTGAGGGAAGTGCCACCCCGCTTTTTGGCCCAGAAACAACGGTTTCGTACTTCTCAGGTGAACCAGACTCGCTAGAATGAACTAGGCGATATAATGAACATGAAAAAACAGGAGTTGACTTTGTCGGGGCCTACCATCAACGAATTCAGAAGCTATCAATACGCTATCAATACGTCTTTGCTTCAGATTCAGACGTTGAAGTCTCCGTACGCGGCTTTGTTCCGATTTGAGACTCCGGATGTTCGACTGCGCCCGTCGACGATGCACACAGCCCAAACAAAGGAAGTGACGATATTTGCCTTGCTGTACCTGTACAACAGCTACACGTGTACACGAGCAGTTCCGTCACTGTGAACTGCATCGGTAAGGCGAACTCAGGGTGTGTCTTATCATGCCCCGTTTTGCTGCGGTTTGCTTTGCTTTGCCCAAAGAAGTGATTTGGCGTGCTATGAGTGGCTCCTACGTTTTAATTTATGTGTTTAAGAAAAGCAAGGGCTTAAGAAGCATACGGTATTTATTAAGAATTTAAAAGTACTCCTGGCAAAACCGGGCAAGGCAAAGCAAAAACCAGCCTGTTAAGACACGCCCCAGTGGGTTGCTCTGACAGGGCCGTTTGAAGCGCCACATTTCGGTTCACCATACCGAGACTTTACTCTGTAATGTAAAACCCACCCAAAGCGTACAAGTTCTACGGTAGAAGTTCTACGGTAGAAGGTACTCACAAGTGGTCAGTCTGTGGGGAGTCTGTGTCTGCCTAGGGTATTATGTCTTGAGATAAACCAATTCTCAATGGCGTCACACAACTCTCGATCGGGGCCGCTCTGCAACTTCTTACTTCGTCTGTCACATTGCCACAGCGAACTGTGCCCTTCGCAACGCGCTTGCGCTCTTCTTCTCGCAACACGTCCATGTACGCCCCTTGCAATCCTCGCTGTGCTTTTCACCCAACACTCGCTCCTATTCCCTCGCACATCTCTCAACCCCACACCTTTCCTCTCTCCGGTCTCCCAACGCCTTTCTCTCCTCGCAAACCTATTCGCGGTCTCACAAAGGCGTCTCTTCTTCGGCACCCCCGGCAACCTCGGGAACGCCCGTGGCGTTGCCCTCACCTTTCTTACGGCCACAATACATTTTTTCCTTGCGTCAACCTTTTCCGCCTCTTCCCCCTGCCCCTGCATCCATTCCCACGGCCACGTCTCGCGCACACCTTCCAGCTTCCCGCCCAGCCTTCTGATGGCCTCCTTCGCGGCGGCGATCTCCTCAGCGCCCGCGCCCACGCTCTTCTTCTGCGCGAAAACGCGCCCCCCACCTTTGCCAGCGGCACGCACAGTGCGCAGCAAACGCGCATTTCCGCCAACCACCGTGCCACGACCGAGTCATGCCGTCCCCAATACATCTTTCTCAGCCCGACCTCCGTGGTTCCGCCCTCCCCCCCACGGACGTGACGATGGGCAGGGCCAGCTCGCGCTCCACGATGTCGTGGAAGCGCTTCTTCTTGCGCGCGGCCTCTAGCCGCGTGACGTCCCACTGCGGCTTCGTGATGGCCAGGACGAGCCCGGGAACCCCGTACCCGTGCCGACACCGACGACGCGCAGCCCGGTGACAGCGGCCGCGGCCCTCCGCGTCCAGTGCCGGTGGCAGGCTAAGCGCGTCCACCACGTGCTTGAGCAGCACGGCATCGCGCGTGCGGATCGCCGTGAGGTTATACCGCTTGCTCTCGCTCAGCAGCAGATCTGTGAGCCGCACGAGGGTGTTGAGCCGCACCACGTCCAGGCCCTGCGAGTGGGCCGCACGGCGCAGCACCGCGTGCGCGGGGGCGATGTTTCGCTGCGTCGCGCAGCCGCGCAGCGCCACGCGCCGCAGCGGCCGCGCTCGGCATGCAGATCGCAGTACGTGACGCGCGCGCTGGGTCGGCGGCGAGACGGCGAAAGCCATGCGGCAGGGGGTGGACCACGGAGCCATGCAGACGGAGCTGTCGGAGGCCGACTGAGGGATGGGCTAAACTGGGCGACCGATGGATTCGGGTAAGGGGGTAAGGAAAGTCGGCTACTCTGCCTTCAATGGAAACAGATTATCGCTAGCGTACAGATGAGTGTTTTCAATTAACACCGAGTCGACTTTGGCCACCAGTGTCGGAGACTCGCCCGCAACTCTGCCGTCCCGCTCCGTCCTCCTTTTTCCCTTTCTTCCTCCCCGGCTGAAGGAGAAGGCCGTCGCGGCGATGACGAATGCACTACTGTACACGTGTTACTGTTGTCTTATACATATACAATAATAATATCCAAAAATATGTTACATTACGCCGCCTATCCATGTGGTGCCTCCCCCGCCACTGCCCTCGCATTCCATCCCGCCCCCGCCTTCCTCTGTTCTCACTCACCCTCGTCCCGCGTACTCGTACTGCCGTCTGATCTGTCCCGCTGCAACGCCGCAAGTTGGGCTACAGCCTCCGCGTTGTTGTCTTCCTCGACCGCCATCTCGTAGAAATGTATCGCCCGATCCGTGTCGCGGGCCACCCCGTCCGCCCCGTCCCGCATCATGTTTCCAAGACACACCATTGACACGCTCTGCTTCCGTTCCTTGATGTCCATCTCAAACAGCTCCACCGCGCGCACTGCATTGCGCTCCACCCCTTCCGCTCCGTCCCTCAACATCATCGCAAGATGGCAAGTCGCGTTACCGGAATTTCCCTTCGCCATTGCACGATCATACAATGCCACAGCTCGTACCGCGTCACGCTCTACTCCTTCGGCACCTTCTGCAAGCAAATTACCGAGGAACACCATCGCATCGACGTCCTCATCCTTCTCGATAGCGCGCTCATACAGCTCCATAGAATGCACTGCGTTACGCTCTACTCCTTCGGCATCTTGTTGGAGCAAAACCCTGTGACAATACCCAGACACGTGCAAACATAGCACACGTACCACACGCACAGGCTCACACCCGCCGGCGTGAGACCAGTAGACTTAGTGTTGGGAGAGCAGGCCCAGACAGAAAAGACTGCCCCATCGTTCCTGCACTACAGGTTATGGACCACACGCAAACACCCCTGCAAGACGAGCACAGAACTACGGGAAGACATCCTCGCAGATCACCCCGTCACCGGCAAGGACACACGGCACCACCACCCACCCCCGGCTGCCTAGAATACGTCCCCGGTTCAACAGAAGAGCCTCTACGAGCCAGTGTTGAGAGTCCGCATAACGCACCTCCACCCCGTGTAGAGAGCAGAAACCACACGCAACCACGCGTTGATACCATTACACCACCAGTCATTGCCATGGCCAACGAAGAAGGAACCACCTCGACTGATCACCGGACCCAAGCCCGATTACCGCCCCTCAGCCCCACTAGAGACAATTTCTCGTCATGGAGACAAGCGCTGAATGACATGGCCACCATCCAAGGAATGGAAAATGTACTCGATCAAACATACACCACTCCAAATGAGACAAGCCCGCTGTATGCACCGTACAAACGCAACAGTGCAATCTTCCGTCTGGCGATCAACAACTCACTCCCGCCAACCTTTGCTGCTCCTGCCGATCTTACGCTTGACGCCTCACCCCTCCACATGGCACAGAAGATCACAGGGCACTTTACAGACAGCACAACAACGGCGCACCTGCTGCTAAAACTAGAAGCAGAAAATACCAAGCTCACGCACAACACAACGCTGGATGACTACATCGCCCGCCACAGAGCCATTCGAACACGCATGCAAATGGCCAACTATCCAAACAGTAAATCAGGAGAGGGAGCCACAGTTCAGTTCATCATCCAAGGACTATCGGCACACACAATGTACAAGCACCTCCTAGATACGTGGATTGAAAATGGCACTGTCCCAGACACAATTCAAGGGCTAGTACAACGACTTGAGTCAGTACACGCCCGCACCATGGAGCGCACGTCACAAAACAAATACGCACCATATGGTATGCAACAACCAGCAACCACACCTCCCACCCCAGCATATGGAAGCCGCAACCGAGGCCGCAATCGCGGCAGAGGAAAGTACAGACCAGCCAAAAAGGAACACCAATGGAGCAACCCTGCTGAAACCACCAGCCCCCACCCCACCCCCTTTACCACAACAAACACACCGGGCATACCCCGACTCACCTGGAAAAACACAAAGGGCAACACGGCCAACATCACGCACGATATAGGCCAGAATGACCACACCTACAGTGTGCAAGAAATCGACACCATCTCACCCAACCCCAAAGAATACTCCACGGTAGAAGGTAGGAAATTCGCACTGGATTCTGGAGCATACCCATCCCATATCAAAAAGCCCGCCCCTGGAATGCATCGCCTCAAACGCGAAGTGCGCACTAACACTGCAACGTCCATCACCCCTCCTGCGACACACCACGGCATGCTTAAGATCCCAATGACGAGGACCAAATGGCTTAAGCTACAAACTCTCGTCAACCCCCACCTTCGTACAAACCTACCATTCGTACATGATATTGCAAAACAGTGCGGAGCGGTGATATTCTACCAGAACACAGCACCTGTGATAAACACAAAAGATAATCCTCAAGCATTGTTGGCACTGCAAAATTCCAGAGAGGTCTCTACGATCTCAACGTGGCACGCCCTAAAAGCCAGGCCAATTCTGCCAGATCAATCCCGCGTCGCAAGACCAACACGAAGAGGAAAGTAGCTCATAACACGGCACCACAAAGAAAAGCACAGACCTCAGCACCAACAACACAGTGCACACCCCACGCAAGCGCACAAAGCATCCCCATGCAATTAAGGCACAACCCTGCACCAGTGCGGCCCCCTAGTGCAAGCATAAAAACGCAGCATGACTACAATCATTGGCAGATGGTGTTCAACCACATAAGACCTTCCACAATCCAACAAATGGCCAAAAGGCAGCTACTACCAAACTGTGGTATAACCCCAAACGGAAATTAGATTAGGATCGGATCAGGGACCGTAAGGCAACCAGCCTTACAGCCATGCGCGCACACACGAGTCCTCCGCGTGTACGGGACGCGTACTACACGTGGAATGTCATCCCCGCCGGCTGACAGCGTTACAGTGTCGGTAGACCGGCACTACTGTAGAGTTATGATAGACTACAATGTACATTAAATATGAGCGGACCGCCGGCGGTGGAGGACGACAAGAAGGGACTTGTCAAGCATCCTCCACCTTGGTCCGCCCGCTTACTTTTAGGTACTTCCGTCCGTTTTACCTAGGAGTAGCACCGCGCGCGGGTTGAGGACGCGCGTAGCACGCCCACGAGCCGGCTCCGCCTCCGCCCGTCGGTACTGGATCGTCACCCAGTACCGCTCCGGGGCGTCGAGGCGTAGAACCGCTCGCGCGTGCGCGCGTCCTCCCCGATCCCGCTCTACCACCGCTACCTCGAGCCCGCGCTCGGTACCGTGGGTGGGCCGTGCTTCTGTCTTCCCGCCGATCGGGGTCTTTCCGAACTGTCAGTACTCACCCCCCTCGTCGTTGGGGGTGATTATACTACAGTTTATACTACACAAACCTCCCCAAATCCCTTGCCTTACCACTGCCATAAATCACATGCACAAGTTGTGCTGCAGCCAAACTGCAACCAGCACGACACAGCAGGACAACGCACAACTACCGTACTGGCGAGGCACTGAGCAGTGACATATGCGGACCCTTTCCCACGGCATCAACCAACGGCAACCGTTATTTCATGACAGTGATAGACACTAACTCACGCTATCTCATCATAACATTTATGAAAACAACGGATCAAGCAACATACCAGCTTGACAATGTCCTGTCCCACCTCACAACAGGCCCGTACCCCAAACCCAGCATGACTCACACTGATAACGCAAAGGAATACCTATCACATGCCACAAAAGACAGTACCGCACACATGGCATGCGACACAGTACCACCGTTCCATACTCACCCCAAGAGAATGGTATCGCCGAGAGAGTAAATAGGGCAATCATGAACGCAGCACGTGCATCTCTACACCACAGTGGATTACCAGAACACCACTGGGAAGACGCAATAAAAGATGCAGCATTCAAATACAACCACACGCTGCATCTGGGAACTGGACAAATACCTAGCACAGTGAGGCATGGAAACAAACCGAACATCACCAAATACATGATCTTTGGTCAACTAGGACATGTCCCGCACATCACAAGCAAGACGTTGGGAAGAAAACTTCACCCTCGTGCCCTCTCCGTCAGGTACCAATTTCCGACAGACCCCAAACACGTAATGGTCATCAACATGAGAGACGGAAAAATGCGACGAGTGCGATCGGTTGACTTTCGACCGTACCACAAAGAAATGGACCCCAACCACAATGTACAAGTCCTATTCAAAGTGTTCACACCCAAACCCACCCCAACAGAAATCACAGCCACATCACCGGCCCCCATGCACCATGGACAGGCGAAAAACTATCCGGATGCCAAACTATGGGCAATAGCCCACAACAGCGAGATTGATAACCTTGACAAACACAACTTTATCACATGGATACCCTCACAAAAAATTCCACCCGGCACTAAGCCCATCCCCCTGTCGATGGGATATCGGTACAAGCGCAACGCGCAAGGAAGAATAGTGGAGAGGAAGGCACGCTGCTCCGCCCGAGGTGACAAAATGATCCCAGACGTGCATTTCAATCCGGAGAAAACCACGACTTACATGGCAGACAAAACCACTGTACGCCTGTTGTTTGCAATCGCAGCCTCGTTCAACACGTTTATTGAACACATAGACATCAAGGCAGCGTACTTACAAGAAAAGTTTGATCACTCAGGAAGCAAACCAGTGTATGTCAGACAACATCAGCGATTTGACGGCACACACAAACATGAACACAGAGTTGGCAAACTGCACAAAAAACTATACGGCACACCCGGCGCAGGACACACCTACCTCAGCGCCGTCGTCAAACTGCTCCGCAAACACAAATTTGCTCAATCAGAAGCCGACATGTGCCTCTTCCACCGCCGCTCTCAGAGCCACATCCTCATTGTATCCGTGAGCATGGATGCTTTCACAGTCATCAGCACGTCCAAAGACCTCCAAAAAAATCGCAAACGTCCTCACCACGACGTACAACATCCAGCGACTTGGAGAACCCTCCCAGCTCCTCGGCTGGACGATAAAAAACTACCGAACGGGGACACCCATGCATCACAGCCAAATTCAATACAGTATGTTGTAAAGAAAGCAGACATGGCAAACAGCAAACCAACGCCATACAACACCAAGACCACTCTGCATGGACCAACAGAGGACGATAAACCTCTGCCAAAACCACCAAAATATATCAACAACTGTTAGGGGACATCCGCTACATGGCGGACTCGACAAGACAGGACATTTACTATGTGGCAAACCGTTTAGCAGTTGCGTCCAAAAAGCCTACAGTAAAGACACTGGACCGCCTTAAGCGCCTTATCCGCTACCTGAAGCACACCCCAAACCACGGACTGCTCTTCAGAGCCGGAAACCACAAGGCAACTGCTCCAATCATCCCCAATCTCCTCGAATCGTACAGCGATGCAGACTTTGCAGCTGATGTAACCAACCGAAAATCGATTTCGGGAATGGTGCATCTATACAATGGCACACCAGTTTGCTGGGGCTCAATGAAGCAAACTATCACAGCCTTTTCCACGTGTGAGGCTGAGCATATAGCTGCAATTGCAGCAGCTCAGCAAACTACATGGATACGACGCATCCTTCAAGACGTCCACATGCTCCCGCCCTCCCCCACGCCATTCCGCATTGACCACCAGTCTGCGATCCGCGTCGCGAAAAACAGCGGGCCAACGAAGAGGCGAAAATTCATTGACCTCCGTCATCATTACCTCGCACATCAAACCAAGGCCAAGGCGATCGACATC